CCAGGAGATGATTCTGGCCCACAGATGATCCCAGCCCACAGATGGTCCTGGTGGGGAGATGATCCCGGCCAGGAGATAATCCTGGCCCAAAGATGATCCCAACCCACAGATGATCCCATTCTGCAGATGGTCCCACCAGGAGATGATCCCAGCTGGGAAATGATCCCGGCCTGCACACGATCCTGGTCCACAGAACATCCCAGCCCACAGATGATCCCAGTGGGGAGATGATCCCAGTCAGGAGATGGTCCTGGTGGGGAGATGATCCCAGCCCACAAATGATCCCAGCTAGGAGGTGATCCCAGCCCACAGATGATCCCAGCCGGGAGAAGATCCAGGCTCGCAGATGATCCCAGCCCACAGATGATCCCGGCCCGCAGAACCAAGGGATAATTAATGAGCATTTAATGAGGATTTCAGCCCCGAGAGCCGAATCCAGGCTATCCCTGGAGCTCCAGGGCGGGAGAAGGCAGGAGAGGGATGAGTTTTCCCAGGTGTCTGTGGGGATGATCCTGGTGCTGGAGCACGTTGTGCACGTTCCCACCGCGAGCTCCGAGCCTTTGGGGCGCCGTTATCACAAATCAACGTCCTTTTCCTCCTCCCTCCTGCCCAAACCTCTCCCTTTCCTCCTTCGGAGCGTGACAGTCACGGACGAGTTGGGATTATCCAAACCCCGCCTTGGATGCTGAAGGTGAAGGTGAACTCACCTTGGGTTTCTCCTTTGGTTGCGCGCCAGGGCTGCCCAAAAAGCCAATCCCTGCCTGGTTTTTTCCACCCTTTTCCTGCAAAAATGCCTGGATCCCGCTGGCATCTTCAGAGAGGAAGTCAGCCGGAAGGGAGGAAAGCTTGGACTCGGATCTGAAGCAGAAACCAAGCCCTGCTGGTGCCAGGCCTGGAGCTGCCTGCCGCCGTCACGGTGGGGGCTCGTCTTGGCGGCCAACACCACCCCGGGGCGGCTCCGCTTGGATCCAGCTCCTTCCTGGGAGGCTGGGATCCCGTCCAGGCCCTGCCGGTCGGATCTGGGGTCTCCTGGAGCAGAGAGGGACCATGAGGTTTCGCTCCAGCCGAGCCGAGCGCCAAAGATCTCGTTAAAATGGAAGGAGCTTGGCAGAGCTTAAATCTGAAACTTGGACAAAACCGCCGTTTTCTCCCCCCAAAGTACAATCAATTCCTTTCGTCTATAAATAGCCTCTATAAATAGCGACGGGAAGAGGTTTTAATATTTCCAAAGGCTCTTCTGGGGGAAGAAAAGCTGGAAAATTGGGGTTAAACTCCTTGTTTTCCCTACGTTGGCTCAGCAAAGGCAGCGCCGCAGCCTCGAGCACCCCAGAAAAGCCTCTTGGCTCTGCTCCGAGAGCTTCAAGGAGCTCGGTTTGGGAAAAAACTCGGGAATAAAGCGGGTTTTCATTCCCAGCCGGTGTCTGGAAGAGGCCGAGTCCGTAATGGGGTCAATGACTCGGCCGCGCTTCCCCCGGGCTTGGCAAGAACCAGACAAATTGCTGAGCGGCAGCGCTGCTTTCCGGAGACCTCCGAGCGGGTCATTAGTGCCTAATTAGCGCCTAAACGCTCTCATTTGTCGTGCCCTGTCAGGGGAGATCCCGCTCGGCCTCCTCCTCCGCATTCCACCGGCTGGGGAGCCAGGGAAGAAAAGCCATAAACCCGAGC